AGAAATGTATAATTGTGACCCATACAATGTATTGTTGGCTATTGCTACAAATATCCCCCAGCGACTCAACACTGCTTTTGTGCTGCAGGGACAATTTTTACAAAGTATCAAACAATATTCATGTTATGATCTAGAGTTAAATTCTGTCATTATTTACTCTCCCCACTGTCGTTACAAACCTTTAAGAGTTTCTTCCTTCTGTTGAACACAAAAGAAGATACTTTGAAGAATGTACCGTGTACAGTTGATGGTCCCTGTGGACTTCCATAGTATTTATTTTTTTCATACCAACAGCTGTCTATCTTTTGTGTTCAACAGCAGAAGGAAAGTCATACAGGTTTGGAACGGAGGATGCGGTGCGATTGAGATGCCACGGGACCCAACACTAATCTCGCGGGAGCGGCCGGTCAAAAATAAATCAATTATATATATATATATAAATGTATTCAGACACCAACATTTCTCACATTGTCACCGTTTATTCACTAATACATATTTTACAGACACTGCAGTTTTATCAAAGGTAGAATGCTAAATATTTCAATACAAGCATTTCAGTCAAACGTTATTTATACAATATTTCAAACGTTTAACCCACAGAAACGATTTAAAAGCAGCCCAATTCTAGTTTAGTTTAGTTACCCGTTAGAAAACGCTTAATGTTCGGGCTGTGGATCTTTGGCGATTCATGATTCATAGGGTTTCGATTCGATTCAAAACGATTTTTGCAAATTCAGAACGATTCACAATCAAATTCGATGCGGTTTGATTCTGCGTTCTTCAAGTGCATTCACAGGATTATTTAAATGCTTCTAAATTCTTTAAATGTCGGGGGAAAATTCCTTCCTTTTTAGGGCAAAGAAAAACACTTATCCATTGTTAGATGTTAGTTTAATGATGCTTTGGCGTGACGTAGAAATTTACAAATAGTCATTAAACTTTATTTGGAGTACTACTTATTCACGTTTCTTAATATTAAGCCTAAATTGTGTTTTAATGTCACTATTAATGAGAACTGTATGGTCTTTAAATGCAATATATTTAAAGTGTGCCTGAAGTATACTTGCAGTAGTTCCACTTTAGCACAATACTTCAGCACTACTTCCAATTTTTGGGCAAACTGTCCCTTTAAATCACCGCAACATTTTATTTGCAGCGTTTGGTTGGTTGTCCTTCCTCCAGCTCTTAGTTACTTGTTTCGCTCCGGCTCCAAGAAGACCGAAATGTTGCAAATACAAATGAGTCATCATGCGAGTTTGATTAGTGTGAGATATTTTTATATTGGACTCTCACAGATGATTTGGATGTGCGAGGGACTATTTTTTCTGTCATTTCCGAAAAGCACACATAAATAAATAAAAAAAATTAAAATGCTGATTTGCTGCTGAAGGAGCATTTCTGATTATTATCATATTATTATGTTGAAAACAGTTTTTTGTGGAAACTGATACATTTTTTATTTTTCAGGAATCACATATAAATAGAAAGTTCAGAAGAACAGCATTTATTTAAAATAGAAATCTACTGTAACATTATAAATGTCTTTACTGGCACTTTTGCTTAATTTAATGAATATTTACAGAATATAAACACACTGAGCAGAGCTTCTCAACTGGACTTGATTCAGGATCTTACAGTCGCGCACACAATAGAGTTTCAGTAATTCATCACTGCTGTGATTCATGTGAGATTTTCTCTTATCTTCTGTGGTTTAGTTGGTGTTTTCTGAGAATCAGCCTGTCCGTGTTTCATCTGCCTGATTTGATTAGATTCCACAAAATCAATTAGTGCTGCAATACTGTAGAGTCTGCTCACTTTTTTTCAATGAATAAATCTTCTAGCAACATGTCTTTAGTTCACCAAACTCGAACTTTTGCCGTCTCTCATATTCAAATGCATATGAATGGAAGTCTGTTGTGGTGCAGTGCACAAGTAAACGTGATCATATTGAGTGTCTAGTGTGCATACAGACACTTTTTATAAACACTCCCTGCTACAAAGACCCAATATGATCACATCTGTTTACTTGTGCACTGCACTACGAATCATCTTGCACGCTGCGCTGCTTCCCCCAAAATATCTCTTGCACAATTTCATGACCAGTGTTTATGTAAAGTTCTTGTACTGTCTCAGGTTATGTGTATGTATAGTCAGATGGTCAACTGTTGTATACAATGCAGAAATGCTTGTGTTCTAGTATAAAAATAAAAAAATTATTGAATCAATGTGCATTTATTTTGCAAGTAAAATTACTTGAGATATTATGTCTTGTTTTCTGAAAAAAATATCAAAATTGTGTTCGTTTTTGCTTAAAACAAGCAAAAAATATCTGCCAGCGGGGCAAGAACAATAATCTTGTTTAGCCTTTGAATTAAAATGATTTTTCTTACCTCATTGGCAGATATTTTAGTTTTGTGATAAACATTTTTAGAAAACAAGACTTGTACAGTAAATGCATCTTGATTCAAGAATGTTTAGATATTTATACTAGAACACAAGACAGAAATACTGAGTAAGAGAATCTTTTTTTTGCAGTGTAGGTCTATATTGTTTTTCTTATGCTTCTATTGTTGTACGTTTATATTTCTGTTTAACTAGTACACTCTTAAAAATAAAGGTGCTTCACGATGCCACAGAAGAACCTTTTTGTCTAAATGGTTCCATAAAGAAGCTTTAACATCTGAAGAACCTTTCTGTTTCACAAAAGCTTCTTTGTGGTGAACGAAGGGTCTTCAGATTATAAAAAGGTAAGAAAGAGCTGGTTCTTTAAAGAACCTTTGACTGAATGCTTCTTTGTGGAACCAAAAATGGTTCTTCTATGGCATCGCTTGAAGAACATTTTGAAGCAGCTTTATTTTTAAGAGTGTATGTAGCACCGTGGTCCTGCGAGACACGACATTTCGTTCCACTATATGTAGCAGAACGACAATAAAGCTCGACTCGACTCGATGGAAGTGACCGGCACTTTAGCTGTGTTTCATTATTGCACTGATGGATGTCTGGGGTATAGTGCAGCTTCAGTCTCTTACTACAGGAGCGATGGCTGGCGCGGCGCCGGGGGCCACGGCTGCGGCGCTCCTCCTGCGGGCCCCTGGCCGGGATTACCGTGCCACGCCGGAGCCACTGGAGACGGCAGGGAACCCGCCGGGGTGGGTAGTTGAGCAGGCTAGCTCGGCTGAACTGGTGGGTTTGACTGGACTGGAGGGATTGGTTGGGTTGGTTGGAATGGTGGGATCGGTGGAGGGTTGGGCCGGCCAGGTCGCAGGAGCCGATGCGCTGGGCTGGTCAACAGGCCAGTTGGGCTGAGTGGGTTGGCAGGACCAGCAGGGCTGACCGGGCCACTGCTGAGGGGTTTGTGGGTAAACGCCCTGCTGACGGGCAACTCATGATGGACCTGAACCTGAGAGACAAACCATTACAGATCCACTCAACCGACTTCTCCATCTGTACTGTATCTGATTCACTGACACGCTGAACAACGCCGCATGATGACAATGTTCATTGGCGGGTAAGTTAGTGTCCCCTTAACATGTTAATATTGATCAGTTTGACTGAATACTGACATATCACTAGAACTGTACTATCATTCAAAAGTTCGGGAACAAGTCAATTTTTTTTCTTTCAAAAGAAATCTCTTCTGCTCACCAAGGCTGCTGTTATTTGATCAGAAATACTGTAAAAATTGTGAAATATTTGACTTGATTGCACAGATACTATTTAAACTGAGCTGAGCTGGACGATGATGAACTGAATTTAACTGAAGATTGAGTGTTTACTGTTGTCCTTCTGCATTACTGACGCACTATTTTCATATTTAATACTGTACAGCTAGATGAATATCTGTCCAAATGTAGCTGTATTTTCAGCATCATTCCTCCAGTCTTCATATTTAAACTGAGCTGAGCTGGACGATGATGAACTGCCTTTAACTGAAGATTGAGTGTTTACTGTTGTCCTTCTGCATTACTGACACACTATTTTCATATTTAATACTGTACAGCTAGATGAATATCTGTCCAAATGTAGCTGTATTTTCAGCATAATTCCTCCAGTCTTCAGTGTCTCATGATCTTCAGAAATCAGTATAATATGCTGATCTGCTGCTCCAGAAACATTTCTGATTATCATCAATGTTGAAAACAGTCGTGCTGCACAATATTTCTGTGGAAACTGATGCATTGTATTTTTCAGGATTCTCAGATGAACAGAAAGTTCAAAAGAACAGCATTTATTTGAAATAGAAACTCTTTAATGATGCTGAAAATTCAGCTTTGATCACAGCAATCGGTTACATTTGACATTTTGACCATTAGTGTATTTCTTTTAATATTTCTTCAGTTATTTTAATTCTTTCACATATTTATTCATTTATTCTTGCACTGAAGTTGCATGTGAACAGCTGCTCATCGTTCTAATCCGGTACTAAATAGTGATCTGAGTGCTGAAAGTGTCCGTATTTAAGAGCTGAGGGTCACACAGTGATGGTCCAGAGGCTTGATGAACAGCAAACCATGACCGAATGATCTTTACTAAATAACTGCTGTACATCTACAACATCACAACACATCAACTCCGCTCAATATCAGTGATATTCCTGGCTCTTCCAGCGTTTAGAAGTGAAGCCACGTTTATATGACTGCACGCTAGAGAAAGAGCCTGCTTGTTCATCAGACCATATCTTCTGAGAGAATATATCAAGTCCCTCCTCAGTGTCTCTGTCTTGTTTTCCAGTGCAAACATCCTCAAATCTAGACACATTTCCTGCAGATACAAGATAACTTCAGATAAAAATGCTTGAGAATGAAGTGACTTTATGCTTCAAACAAGAACAAATATCTACCAGTGTGGGAAGAAAATAAGCTTTATTTAAAGGGAAAACAAGTTTATATTTCTTTGCTGTTTAATGCAGATAAAGCAGATCATAGAGCTGATGCTTCTGCTTGCTTTATTTGCCTGACATTCTCGAACTCTTTCTTTGCTACTCAAACACTTGTTCTACAGTCCGGTTTAACCTTATATGAAAGACATGTAGCTCATATAATTACTGAAAATAGAAAAGAATCCGTTTGAAAGTTTGTAGCTGTTTTCTTCGCTGGTCTCGATGCAGTCGGGTCAATGTTGCAGCGGTTTCCACGGTAACCGGAGGTTTGAGAAGATGATGCTGTTACACTGTCACGAGTCCAGAGGCAGAAAGTGCTGCTCTTGTCTTCCAGCGCAAGTATCTACACTGCCATATCGGCCCCTGGAGCACAAAAAACACAGATTTAAAACTAGCACAAGATATAGTTTAATAGCTATGATACTGCTTCTGAAATCAAATCAGCAGTAATCAGAGATTTTAAAAGTGTGATTTTCAGGCCCGCAAACGAAATATTCAATATAACTAAAAATGTTTGTCTAAAATGATGACATCATGACGTCGCTGAGTGTCGTGACGTCATGCACGTAACTGCTGTTGAGCGTCGCGTCACGTGCCGGATCTGACGCGTCTGAACGCTGACGGAGATCGCGATGTTCGGACCCGGTACCGGTACCGTGTGTCAGAGTTTATGATCCCAGAATTCGAGTGTGTGACGTGTTGAAGCTCTGAGAGATTATTTATTATCTGTCACTGAACACGTTATGATTCCCGGTACCGGTACAAACCCCACCACGGTGAAGGCCTCGCTCATGAATATTAATTAGAGCGTGCCCTTCACTGGTCAGCTTCCAATGGCTTTAGGCCTGCTTCATGAATATTAAATACATAATGCAACGCTGCCTTGTTACCGTCCAATGGATGGCTTAGTTTCCTGAATATTAATTACGCTACCCACAGCAGCTTAGCCAGCCTTGAATGTTTTAAAAACATAAAAATTCTCAAAATATTTCTGTTTGTGTTTTGCGGATATATTGAGACTTATTTTAATTTTCTCTCAGAATGAAACGCTTTTAATATGTTTCTATAATTTCCCTGTAGTAAAAATATGAGATAATACAGACCTTCCATTATTCTAAATAGTTATAGAATGTGTGTTTTTTAGTTCTGCGGTCGAATGATAGATAGATGCAGACAGATTAAAAAAAACTAATACAGAATATTTGACTTTTTTAAATTTTGTATAATCATAGGTGAAATTAATACAAGTGAACGCTTCGTTTGTGATTATTAATTCATAAGACAATGTTGACGTTACGTTGTAACCCTCCAATGGGAAGTCTTACGTATTGAATTGTAAGTGGTCGGTAGTGACGTCGCGCTGCTCTCGTCCAATAGCGAACGTCTGGCTCATGAATATTTATGTTGACGCCTTCGCCATAGTAGCGCGAGCCGCTCGGTTGTCAGGTGCCGTGATTCCCAGCAGCCCGGATGTAGCGCGCAGTCTCCAGCATCCGTCCCGGAGAATAACATGACACCGACAGCCACATAACACCGTTTCCCTCCGCAGCGTTCCCGCAGGAGCGGAGCACACCGCTGACAGGAATGTGACGCGCTTCCCGCCGCAGCAGGTGAGCGATCTTCTTCCAGTCTTTCCTAGCAACAAGCAGCCGCGCGATTGGACGCTTGTAACGCGGCGTAACGCTTCAGAACAGGGCTGCAACTCCACCGCTTCCTGACGCGTCCCGCCGCGGCCTGAGGAGCGTCGCTGTCCTCGGTGCTGAACGCGGCTCGGGTGCGTGCATGATCAATTCATGAGAGTTTCCTAGCAACAAGCAGCCGCGCGATTGGACGCTTGTAACGCGGCGTAACGCTTCAGAACAGGGCTGCAACTCCACCGCTTCCTGACGCGTCCCGCCGCGGCCTGAGGAGCGTCGCTGTCCTCGGTGCTGAACGCGGCTCGGGTGCGTGCATGATCAATTCATGAGAGTAGAGAGTGTGTGTGTGTGTGTGTGTGTGTGTGTGTGTGTGTGAGTGTGAGAGTGTGTGAGTGTGAGTGTGAGTGTGAGTGTGTGTGTGAGTGTGAGTGTGTGAGTGTCTGTGTCTGTGTGTGTGTGAGTGTGTGTGTGAGTGTGAGTGTGAGTGTGA